GACATTTTTTGGATTGGGCCGAAATTTTGTACAAAAATCATATTTTTGTTTTTTTGGAAGGATATCATGTATTTTTGGTATGACTTCTACGCAGTATCAGGCAAAGAGAGTTCCCATTTTAAATTTAAAAGTTGTTCCCGGGCGCGAAGTAGAGAGGTAACGACCCCCCGGACGCCCCTCCCCCCCACTCGAGAGCGGCCCACCTTTTTTGAAGGAAGTTTCGTTCAAAACCGCAAGTCAATAATCCGTAATCGTTCTCGAGACATCAATAAGAAGGATCCATATTTTTGGCACACCCTGTGTCACAGAAACAAAACCGCAAGGCTAGAGGCCCGACTCAATGCTAGGTAATTGAAACAGATGCGCTCGCTGGCAACGTGTACGCAACTACTATTTTCTATTGTTTTCCAGTGACTAGCGGCGGGTATGTTGCTGCCGGACCACCTCCACGTAGGCAATTTTTTATACATCGTCCGTCCGCAACTCTTGCTTAGCAGTGGTATGGGATTCCGCTCGCCGCGCCCTCTCGCGCCTATGTACGCAACTGCTTGCTCACGGCTCCAACCAACTTCTGTTTCAATTCTTCCCTATCCAGTCGGGCCTGGTCAATATTAAAATCGTGACCAAGTTGGGTCACTTGACGTAATGCATAATTCTCATTGGCTACGCACGATAGAAACTGAGCCGTGAGCAAGCAGTTGCGTACGTTGGCGCGAGAGTGCGCGGCGAGCGGAATCCCATACCACTGCGCTGATTGGCTAAGCGAGAGTTGCGGACGGACGATGTATAAAATATTGCCTACGTGGAGGTGGTCCGGCAGCAACATACCCGCCGCTAGTCACTGGAAAACAATAGAAAATAGTAGTTGCGTACGTCGCGTCGCCAGCGAGGGCGCTGCGAGCGCTTCTGTTTCAATTACCTAGCATTGAGTCGGGCCTCTAACCTTCCATACTCTCTGGGCGATAGATAGAGGTTATGATATTGTTTTGTTCGGAACATCGGAACTTCGGAAATTTTGGATCGTATTTGAGCAGAATATCATCGCAATTTCTCCAGGCTCCTTTCTCTTTCTTTGTCATATTATTTCTGAAATTAATAACAATATAAAGTCTTGAATGGTTTTCTTATTGTACGCACGAAACGTTTTCAATTTTATGCTGCCCTAAGGCATAATGCTTCCAAATATCATGAATCTTGCATCTCTCTCTAGGTACCTTTTTGGTTGTGAGTTTTCCTATTTGTCTCTGGTTTTCCTTTATGATTCTCTGATTACTGAGGGAACGATGTGCCTGAAACGAAAAGATGCTACTTACTTTGTTTACTATGTGCATTCCCATCTCTATCTAGACAACATATGAAATCATCTTGGTACTTACGTTAAATCTTTCCGTTCATAAGGAGATGGTATACAATAACCTTTAGTTGTGATGACATAAATTTTCTCAACTGCATGCTGATTATTGAAACTATGTCAGTACGACAAGGCAAGACAGCCCTATCTTAACTGTGCAATATATCGCATTTCGACCTCTTATCAGACTGCTTCAAACTTTCAATAATCGGCCTGCTGTAATGATATCCTTTGATAACTTTCATCATTATGATTCTCCATTTGCCCATTCTGGTCAACTAGAGTCCACATCGACCGATTGATTTTAAACGCGCAACAGGGTGAAAGGGAGAGTGCCATTTTAATTACTAATGGGTTTACTTTCAATGATAAAATTAACCAGTCTATTTTTGTCACACCTTCAATGTGGGTGAATGTATCGGGCAAGAACCCTGATAATCAACAACTTGGGGGCCGCCTTTAGTATAGGACTTTCATGTAACGTTCAGTCTCCTGCGTACGGTAGGCACAAAACCAGGATGTACAGTAAGGACGTCACCTATGCTTAGGGCTAATTTGTACGTCTTACATTACCTATATCTGACACATTTTTTTGATTAATGGAGCTAATGATAGAATGCGAACTAAATTCTGCAGCTCAGTGCAGGAGCACTATCATTTACGCTGCTTATACCCAGTTATGCCTGCCAGGCCCTTTGACCATTCAAATTGCAATTTCTTCGAGCTGTAATTTCATCATCAGTAATAACATTGCAAACGCTTGACACCGTCTCATAAAGATAGCGTTTGGCAAAGTAAGTATTTCTACAGAGTCTACAGATTCTAATCATCCCTAGTTTATTGGGTTTTATGCTACCCTTACCTCTACAGCCTCGGGTACAGATCGACATTCAAATCGTCAGAAAACGGGTTAATTATGAATTGTTCTTCCTTATACGTCATCTATATCAAATTTCCAAAAAGTCATTTTTAGTTTATAAAACGCTGATTCAAAATATCTATACTTTTATAGGGTTTTTTTCTACGGTTATGGCTGTAGGTCGTCTCGACTGACACAGCAGTCTCCACCGCGGGCGAGGGTTTCGCGGGCGCCGTATCTGCTCAACAATTCCATCATCGTCATGTTTTGGGGTCCAATTTGTCGTTAAAGCTTAGGGGAGACCGGGGCTATGTTGACCAGATTTTTTGAAAACTTGTGTCTGAAGAAACAGAAGAATAGAATGCCATTTCTTTGATGCTCTAATCCTTGAGCATACAGTGTAAAATTAAAATCAACTGAAAACATTGTACAAAATACTTTAATTTTGTGAGTTTCATGCGTTTTTATAAGAAAATCCATTTTGGTCAACATAGCCCCTGCTTGGGGCTATATTGGCCACCCCCGGGGCTAAGTGAACCACCTGTAAGGAAGCTATGTTAACCTTGTTCAGTTGATTGTAATTGCACTTAAAAAGCTTAGTATTATGCCCTTACACTTATCTTTCGTAATGTTTGTAAAACTCAATACCTTTGGAGCTGAAAATTTAAAAATAAAAAAAAAAAATTTTAAAGAACAGTATCAAATTTAATAAGTGAGTTGGCGTGAAAAGCAACTTAAAAAATAATAAGAAGATCTACTCCTCCACTAAATAGGACCGTTTTAAACTCAAAGAGAATGGATTTGAAACCTTACGCAAAAAAAAGTATAAAATGTATGTCTTCTTAGTAGGTCAACATAGCCCCAGAAAAATGGTCCACATAGCCCCGATCGAGGTTACCTCAAATCAAAGTCATCCAACTAAGAAACAAGGAGTCAAAAGCCATAAATCCATACACTAAAATCAAAGGAAAGGGGTCTACTTCAAATAGAAACAAAGATTAATAAGATACAAAATAAATACTCGCCACAGCAAACAAAATTCAAAATTAAAAAAATCGCGTTTTCGGGCTATTTTCGAAGGTAAACAAGAATGTTACAGCACAGAGCATAACAGAGGGGGACACCATCGATGTTGATATTTTAAATTGTTAGTCTACATCGCTGCCAACCTTTTTGCTCATCAAAACATCAAATTTACATTTTCCTCTACAAAATTCTCACGATGGTTATCATAGCCCCGTGGCCAACATAACCCCGGTCTCCCCTAATAACTTTTTTAATATTTAACTAAGCTTAAAAAGGGTGGGCATTACGAGTAGAGCTGAGCACACTCTACCCAAATATTATAGGGTTTTTGGGGTTTACTCTCCGACTTAATTAGTAGGAGAGCTTAATGGACCGCAAACCGTGCAGAAAAGCCCGGTCGCGTTGTTTCGTGTAAATCTAGTTAGGCAGCAGCCACCCGTCTTTTTTTTTTTTTTTTTTTTTTTTTTTTTTTTGGTCGTCATTTTTTAGGGGGAGTTTTTTTGGATTGGGCCGGGGTGGCTACCGCCACCTAGAATAATCCGCTATCGTCAAGTTAAAGCCACAGGGAGTTAAATTAAACATTTTGCAGCTACTATTCCACATTAGTTAAAAAAAGTAGAACTTTTTTTTTCAGTGCAGACTCCCACGACTTTTCAATAATGCCGTTTACTGAAAAAATCATAACTGAAATCAATGGCATACTAAGGAGCATCATTACTAGTGAAACGTCATTCCAAGAATTGCATACACTGCTTTTCGTAGGAGCTGCGACAGTTCTGTTCCTCAATCACCAGAAAATCGATGCATGCATTACCTACAAGAAGGCAACGTTCGTGGCAAAAAGAATATGAGACCAGCGTGGGAAGCTAGGATACAGAAGACAATCAAAGACCTAAGGAAGGATACAGGCATTCTTACCGAGTACTTGAGACCACACTCAAGCAAAAAAGTCGAAAAGATGGGTAAAAAACTTCTTGAATAGCTCAGGAGTGAGGATAATCCCATCGAAACAGATGTGTTAGATCTTCTAAAATAAAAATTACAAGTTCAAGCAGCGAAGCTAAAGAGGTACCAAAAGAGTAACATGCGCCGGGAACAAAACGGGTTATTCAAGAGAAGCCAATTAAGTGCATTTTACCGAAGTCTGCAGCCTAAAGGAGCAGATGAAAATATAGGGCACGAAAAAACGCCTAGCATTGAAATCACCAGGGATTTCTGGCAAGATATATGGAGCAAACCAGTCAACCATAACAATAATGCAGAGTGGTTGGAGGAATTTAAGTCCAAAGTTAACATCAAGGATGAAATGAGGTATCCTGATTTCATCCCTTGGATGATTCTTTTAGAGATAATTCCTTTCCTGACAATTTAAGGGCTTTTTTATGATGACTTATTTAAATTTGGGAAGACAATTATATAAAATAAAGAAACAAGCAGAGTGACTGAGTTGGATTTTAACCGGGTTCATAATTTCTACCTGCCCGGCGAAAGACTGAAATTCTGTTTCTTGTAGAAACCATTATTGATTCCGAGTACAAAATAACGTGAGGTTTCAGAAAAACATATCTGCCAAGGCGTCGTTGAGAGTTCTCTTTTCGAAAACTTCGGGCTCAAATAGTAGAAATAGCAGAGAATTACCCACTGGTGTTTCAAATTTTGCAACATGCTTCACGGTTTATTGCAAAATAGGGAGAATAATAGGAATTTGATGCGACCGGCCGCCGGGCTACCGGACTAATATTTCATTTTGGAAGATTGCCTTACCATGAGGGGTCTTAAATGTGGAGCAGGTGAATCCATGTCATCTTCTCCGCCCACCAGTATACCGAACGTCTGAAAAACCGATCAATGAGAAAGTGAAATAAAATTTGCTGAAAAATAAAAATTAAATTTTAATTTAATTTGCTAAAATTGAAAGGGGTGTGTGCAAAATCGACAAAAATTCCCACCTCATGGATGTTGACCAATTTTCAGTATGTCATTCCTCACTATGGGATACGTCTTTTCCCAAAATTTCAAGACCTGAAATGAATTTTTTCCCGCGTAGCAGCGTTGCCAAGTTGAAAACCGTCGAGTTCCTTATCTTTTGAACGAAAAGAGATATTGAGGCGCGGTTTGCGCTAAAATTCTCCAAAAATTGCGTTCTTTTGAAATATGTACTCAATTTGATCGTTTAGGTAATTTCCGATTGCAACGATGCCATTTTTCACACTTTCTTAAGGGTCAATTTTTTTCAACCCTAGTACATTGTCAAATGCCGGATTCTCGATTCAAAAAAAAACTGTTCATTGTATTATTCGTACTTTTCCATTTCTTTTGATATATTATGTTCAAAAGATATGGAACTCGACGGTTTTCAACTTGGCAACGCTGCTACGCGGGAAGAAATTCATTTCAGGCCTTGAAATTTTGGGAAAAGGCGTATCCCATAGTGAGGAATGACATACTGAAAATTGGTCAACATCCATGGGGGGAATTTTTGTCGATTTTGCACGCACCCCTTTTTCTCAAGTTTGTTATAATGTTGCAAGCCCACTCTAATGATATGAACTACATTTGGACTACATTTTGCAATTGGGAACTACAATTTGACGCTCATAAATAAAACTTCCTCTCTGCATTGGGAGAATCAAAGTGGGGACTGAAGAGAATGGACAGGAGGAGCTGAAAAAGAGGATAAAGAAAGCAGGAAGAAAAAGAAGGGGAGATAGAATAAGGAGGAACGGAAGAAGAGAATGAAAAAGAGACCCACTCAGCATGATAACTTAATGCAATAATGTTATTTGCTGACATATGTTGATGTAATGTTACTATAGTCCACGCCACGAAAAGTGGCGGGTGAGGGGCGGAGACAGTCGGCCGGTCTAGTCTATCGTTGAAGGGTTGAAGCGCAGGTATTGGCGCGTAGTTGAAACGGCGTAACGACTGGGCCAATACCTACCCTTCATCCCTTCAACGATAGACTAGACCGGCCGACTGTCTCCGCCCCTCACCCGCCACTTTTCGTGGCGTGGACTATAATATGGATGGAATGTTAAATCAGTATTCTAAGGATAAGACTGACGTTGTCAATGTTGTTATAAGGTTAATACGTAAAGGTAATTGCAACATACTGAGACGTCAAGAAATATCAACATTATATCAAAGTATCATTTCTTAAAACGTGAAGGAGGGAGTTTGCCACTTCTTGACGCCGCGCCGTCGCCGTCAAGGTGACCTATTCGAGCCTAGGTGAGCCTATTTCGAAGGCGGCAGCAGGCAGATCTAAAAAAACCATGTTCGAATCGTAATTACATTATTCATTTGTTATTCACTGTTATTTCAGTGCTGGAGTGAAGTATGGTGGTAAAAAGATAGGTGTAAGGTGTTTGTGTCTTATGAGTGGTCATTTTTAACCCTTAGATGACTAACCGGGTCAATGTGGCCCGGCGGCTTCTTATTTTTCACGCCTCAGCAACTGTAATTATTCGAGAAGTCTGTCCTTCACAAATAGCTCTACAAAAAACCTTAAGAACATGATTCCGGAAAAAAATTTCAAAAAAAATTTTTATTAGGCACAGCAATTTTTTTTTCATGTCTACCCCTTGATTGCCTAACCCGGGCCTGCGAGGCCCGTATTGAGAATGTATGGTTATTTGATAACTGCGATGCTTTTTTCTATGTTTTTTGAAGAATTTTATGATTTTCATACTTCGTCCTCTATTACCAAGGTCCCAAATTCTCCCTCCGCCCATGAACTGCCCCCCTCCTGCTCTAAATCCCCCCCCAACTCCCCAGTCCCCTCAGATCTAGGAGCCCCTCATTATAAACACATTTTTGAGATTTTGAGGAAGTTACATTGAAGAAACATTATTACCCCTAAAAGTACCTATACTTGAAATTGAGAGGGAGGGGGCAACCTTACCCACCCCTCCCCCCTGTAACGAAGAATTTCCTTCTCCGTTTTAAGTTTTTCCCTTCTTTTGTAGACCAAAATAGCGACAAATGTGTCACGGCTTGGCGACACCGCGCCGCGACGCCCGGTGACGGTACATCAGCTGTTTGAATAATGAGAAGAAATGGAAAACTGTTTCTCTCCTTTTTCTCTCTCGAAGATACTCATTGTACTGCGAAATCAGGGTTTTCCGTAGATTAACCCAAAACGAAAAATTGTAAAAAATTCTAAACTACCATAAACTTCTGTAGGAAATTTTCCTACATCCATTTCTGTAAATTGTTCATTTTAATTAATTTTCCTTGTAACACAAATTTTGCAACGAATGTCGACATCGTCTTCCAATAGCTTCAAATCAATCTGATAGCCCTCTAAGCCAAACATTGTTCACCACCCCTCTCCTTTCCGAAGGGTCACCTCTTCTCTCATCTTTTCTGAATCTTTCTCGACTCGAGGTGCACGTTAGTGAGTGGCATCTCGTCGAGTCCACTGTGCATTCACTTTCCTCTTTTCTCTTCTTCTGTGCTGAGGTGCACGTTAGTGAGTAGCATCTCGCCCAGCTTCACTCCTCCTCTCCTCTTACATGTATCCTGAAATTTAAAGCCTTGAGGTGCACGTTAGTGAGTGGCATTTCGGCTAAATTATTATCATTATTTTGAGTGTAGGTTGAGTAGGATCCTCACAAATTTAGCTAACGACAGGACATTCTTTTCTGTAAATAAACCAAGAAATTTGAGACATAAGATTCTGATCATTCTTCCCCTCTTTCAAACTCATCATTTTTAAAATTGGCGCCCGAATCCAGGATCCCGGCGAGCTCATTCCGGCACCTCCAGTAACGTTGGCTTCTCTTATACCAGAGGACGTATGTGCCTCTGATGTCCTGGACCTGCTTCGCAGAGAAGGGGGATTTGCCTCGTTACACCCCATCCCCCTACTTCCGGTAGCCAAAAAAAGTAGTACTTTCCGATGTGTTTCTTTCAAAGTTTTGCACTTAGAAGGTTTATTTTTTTAATTTTGTGAAAAGAAAGGAAAAGTTTAAAATGTATTATTGCACTATTACTACTAATAAATCGCTCTCATGGCGCTTCTGTGCGCTCTGCGACACCCAACCGCCACTGACAGCGATCTTGCCAGAGCACCTCCGGCAGAGCGCATCTCCTCATTTCCAGCCTTATTTCCTCAATCCATGATTTGACAGGGCGACCTCTACGTATTTTCTTACAACTAAAAGGTAACGCATTTACATATTCACCGTATCACAAGAAACACCTAAATTTAACGCGTAAAAACTCTCAGATCGTCAAAAAGTAAAAGTAAATAATGAATAATCATTCCAGTAGTAGGACGACGTACAAAACACGGAAAAACGACGGACAATGTACATAGGTAGGACAGATTTTAGGAAAAACAAAACATAAAATAAACTACTGAAGGTCAAGAAAATCAGACTTATTAGTTACTTATTATTATTATAATTTTAGGTGCTTCTTGTGATACGGTGAATATTTAAAGACGTTACCTTTTAGTTGTAAGAAAATAACGCATGGTGCTTTTACAGTTCTTAGACAGTATATTGCCTCCATGACCACTTCTCAGCTACAACTATAACAGCAAAACCCCAGAAAAACCATTGGAAACTTCACAAGAAATTTTGTCCCGCGTTTATCTCATAATTCACTGTGAGTATTATATCCAAAATTTGCTCCAACTTGTAGAAAAGTTTGATATAATGTAGAAGTGTTCCATAAATAACAACAGTAAATAACGCCTATGAACTCCAACGTAAAGGACGCCCTGTCAAATCATGGATTGAGGGAATAAGGCTGGAAATGAGGAGATACGCTCTGCCGGAGGTGCTTTGGCAAGATCGCTGTCAGTGGCGGTTGGGTGTCGCAGAGCGCACAGAAGCGCCATGAGAGCGTATTATTAGTAGTAATAGTGCAATAATACATTTTAAACTTTTCTTTTCTTTTCTCAAAATTAAAAAAATAAACCTTCTAAGTGCAAAACTTTGAAAGAAACACATCGAAAAGTACTACTTTTTTTGGCTACCGGAAGTAGGGGGAGGGGGGAGGGGTGGGTAAGGTTGCCCCCTCCCTCTCAATACCAAGTATCGGTACTTTTAGGGGTAATAATGTTTCTTCAATGTAACTTCCTCAAAATCTCAAAAATGTGTTTATAATGAGGGGCTCCTAGATCTGAGGGGACTGGGGAGTTGGGGGGGGGGGATTTAGAGCGGGAGGGGGGCAGTTTATGGGCGGAGGGAGAATTTGGGACCTTGGTAATAGAGGACGAAGTAAGAAAATCATAAAATTCTTCAAAAAACATAGAAAAAAGCATCGCAGTTATCAAATAACCATACATTCTCAATACGGACCTCGCAGGCCCGGGTTAGGCATTCGTGTAGGTAAAAACGGTTAGTCATCTAAGGGTTAAGTCGTGATTTTTGAGTGCCGGAAGTCAAAGTAAGTATTCTAAATTGCTTAAGATTGTTTTACGTTCGGTACCTCCTAGCTCATTTACTTGATCTAAGAGTAAGCCTGATCCAAGATCAGAGCCGGATTTAAGTTTTTACCGCCCGGTGCCCGAAAAATTTTGCCCCCTCCCCTCTCCCACCCCTCCCGGACTGTGTAATGTCTATGGAAACACGCGATGCGCACGAAATATGTTTCGAAAACACGACTGAAGAGCGAAATCTGATTCTCCGAAAGTCAGAAAAATGCTCATCTATATGCAGGAAAGTGTTGCAAACAAATATTTTAGGAGAAGGAAATGATTCTTCAAGGACTAAGGATTTGAGGAACGAAAAAGGCGAAAATTGAACGTACTTAAAAAATTAATTTAATGTTGATGCTAAAGTGCAAAATCTCGTGCTTCCGTCGCGATATTTTAGAATTTCC